AAAAGGATATATACTGGGCTTGGCATGGGCTTTTGAAACCTCAAAGCCCACCCCCAGTGACACATTTCCTCCAGTGAGGCCACACCTCTTGATCCTCCTAATCCTTTTAAATAGTGCCAATCGCAGGTAACTAAGCATTTGGATATGTGAGCCTGTAGAGGCGATTCTTATTCAAACTACTACACCTCTAATTGACAATGTCTGACCAATAAAAAATTATTAGGTATAATAGTTTGTATAGTAAGTGTCCCCCAGAGTCTCATGAACTAAGGCTTGATCCCAATGCAGCAGTATTCCAAGGTGGGGTCCCAGAGGTGATGGGTGTTTACCACTGTAGTGGCAGTGGGACCTGGGAAAATGGAGACCATAAATGGGGCGAACTAAAGTCTCATGCAATAGGCAGCTTAGAGTATCAGACAATTTGTATTCTGAAGGTTAAGAAGAGTCACATGAGTAAAGTTCTCAAGAGTTCAAGCTGTATAAAATCACACGGCAAGCCACACATGGCAAAAATGTCGTTCTCCACAGAGGCACATACAGGATAACAGCAGCAAGCAATAATGAGTGGCTGAAGTAAGCTCACTCCTGTCTGCTACACCTAGAGGAGCATGAAAACACGGTCCCAGAACAATTCCATGTTTTAAAAAACTGAAGTCACGGGCTCCAGAGATGGCTCAGCAGTTAAGAGCACTGGTTGCTTTTCCAGAGGACCTGGGTTCAATTCCCAGCACACCCACACGGCAGCTCACAATAGTCTGTAAGATTTGTTCCATGGGATCTAACACCCTCACATAGACATACACTTGGACAAGACGCCAATGTACATAAAATATAAATAAATAAAATTTAAAAAGTAGAAACTTAAGTCACAAGAATCTCGTTCTGTTTTCTCACAAACACTCAGAATTCTCCTCACACAACTCCATTCTTGGATCGTGTTCCAGTAGACGGGCAGTGAGGGTGTTAACCTCACTAATGAAATCATAGCCTCAGTGGCTAATAAGAGGCATGGCCTGACAGCAAGTCATGGGGTGTGCCTTTAAAGCATACATCTCATCCTCAATCCCTTCCTCTCTATCATCCCCCGTTCCTCTCTCTCTGCCCACAGCGCTGTGAAATGAGCAGCCTCACTCCCCAACATGATACTCTGCTTGTCCACAGGGTCACAGAACTGGGCCAAAACAAACTCTTCTGGTTTGAAAATGAAGAATGAGAGGAGAGCACTCGAAGGGTTCCTATAACTGCATATGCTCAAAATGTTAGACATGGGACGTGTGTGTGTGTGTGCATGATCCAAACGGAAGGTTACAGTTCCTGAGATGAAAACTGCACTGGACGCAATGAGTGGCAAATTAGACACTTTCAGAGAAAAGGCTGCTTGGCTTAAAAACAATCCTAGGAGTTATCAGAAACTGAACACAAAAGGTAACTGTCACTGGGTATCGTCCATCACTGAGGAAACCACTGTTCTGCTAGAACCATTTCCAGTGTGAAGTCACAGCCCTCTATGGTTGTGTCTCCACACACAGCGTGTCTCTGGCTGCTTTTACATTTTCCTATCAGTACCTTCGGACAATTTGCTCATTAGCTGTCTCTGCCATAGTTTTCTCCATGATACTGTGCTTGCAATTATCGAGATTCTTTGACATCTGGGGTTACAGATGCCATCGAATTTGAGACACCTAGCTATGTCCAGTGGCATGGGCCTATAATTCTAGCTACTTGGGAGGCTTGCAGGAGCACCACAAGTTCAAAGTCGGCTTTGGCTACAGAACACATTAAATGTCAGTGTGGGTAAAGTAGTAAGATCCTGTTTTAAAAAGAAAGCTGGGGATGTAGCTTAGCAACAGAACTCTTGTCTATTATATGTGAGGCCCTGTATATGAGCCCTAGCATCATCATCATCATCATCATCATCTTTACACACACACACACACACACACACACACACACACACACACACACACACAGAGAGTGAAATACTTTGACAAATAAGAGGACAAAATAATTATCACCAGCAGATCTGTCCTCTAAAAATTCCCAAAGTAATCTAGGGACACCACTGAGTAGCAGAGTTCTCGCCTAACATGTAGAAGGCCTTGTGTTTGATTTCCTAAAACTGAAAAAACACTAAAGAGAAATATTAACACTAAGAAAAAATATTAAAAGGGGCTATAGACATCGGATATTTCTGTTCAGTATTAGGGCACAAAGTATACACAAATCTCTGGATCTAATCATCAACAAATGCAAAACAACCCCTGACCCTCAACATTCCAGAAGGTAATATGGACGAAAAGAAGACTCGAACTATGATGGAACTCTGTATGTATGGTCTCTTGGTTCCTGCTATGGAAACCTCTCTAAAGTATAACGGCTTAAACAGAAGTCTACGGAAAGACACCTTCCAGGAGCAGATCTCTTGATCCTGACAGCTAAGCAGGGTCCGGCCTGGGTAAGGCTTGTGTGAGTGACACGGTAAACAGCACAGTGCAGCATGTAGGACTGCAGCAGAGGGGAACGTACTTGAGAGGAGAATCACGGGAGCTCCTTCACCATGAAGGGGCTTGCTGCAGCCTGACAGTGACTGTGTCAACTGAAGATACACACTAGATCAAACAGCAAAGCGGCAACTAAGTAACCAATGAGGGAAACAGCACACAGTCAAAACAAAACAAACACACAAACAAACAAACCCATTAAGCCTAAAGAGGAAAACAGGAAAGATAAGCAAGGAGTTGCTAAATAGAAAACAAATAATGTGGGGAAAGCCTGTATTCCCAGCTCTGCACAAGCAGAGGCAGCATTAGAAGTCCAAGGTCATCCATGGCTACATTCTGAATTGAAGGTCAGCCTCAGGTATATGACATCCTAACTCAAAAAGCAAGCAATAACAAAAACGTCTTGAGAAGCAAAGCCAGGAAGATCACTTTAAGTTTGAGGCCAACCTGGTCTCCATAGTGAATTCCAGGCCAACCAGGGCTATGTGGTAAGACTGCCTCCAAAAAAAGATGAAGGATTTTTAAATACCAATAGTCATGTGACAAGACATCCACAGTCAGATTCAACTATGGTATACAAGAAATTCACTTCAACCAGTTGTCACAACACATACCCTTTAATCTCAGCATTTGGGAGGCAGAGGTAGGTGGATCTCTGTAAATTCAAGGCCAGGCTGGCTTAAGTAGTGAGCTCCAGGACAGCCAGGGCTATGTAGAAAGATCCTATCTCAAAAAAATAAAAATGAAAAACCAAAACATTCCCCAAAGCCAACCACATTTGAGGCCATGGAAGAAGCCATTGTCATAAATTTGAAAGGATACAAGTCATACTAAGTATGTTCTCAGACTGGAGTGGAAATAAATTGGAACCACAAATTTAAAGCCAATTTGTGTCAAACTAAAATTTTACAAAAGGGTGTATGGGAGAATGACCTAGAGGTCTCACTCAGTGGTAGAACACCTGCCTAGCACACCATGGCTCTGGGGTCAAGTCTCAGCACAGCAGAACTCTGGCTGACCTGTCTGCAGGAATTAAAAGGCAGATTCTAAAATTCATATGGGAATTCAAGGGACCCAGAATGGCTGACATAATCTACAAAAAGAACAAACTTTGAGAATTGCATTTACAGATCTCAACACTGACTTCAAGCAAAGTGTCTGCAAAACACAAAACACAACTTCACCTTCAAAGGAAATAAGAAATGGTTTATTCTGAGTGACTCGGGGGAACAAGGACTCTGAATGATGTGTTCCATTGTGGAAGCGGAGACAGATGTGATAACTTAAGGCATTTACTAAACACAGTGGTGCATCAGATAGGCAGGTTACAATCAAAGAAACAAGTCTACAGGTTTCTATTTGAGGGCTCATGGAAGCTAATGGTCTCCTAAGTTAAAACATCCCCAAAGCTTTAATCTGATAGCTGCAAGGGTAGGTGACAGAGATATAGAGGTGGGTGATGAATAGCTATAAGTGACTAAGAACAGTTGGAGAGAATCTTAGTTTTCAATCTGTAAAACCTGCAACATTTCAACTCTCCATAGTGATGAAATGTCAATCAACCTTTAGCATGGGCGTGGCCTTTTCAGGGACCTCCCATTCAAACCACAGCACTTCAGACTGTATTGTACTATCACAAAGGTGAATATATTGATCAACTGAAAGTCCAGAAAAAGCCCTCCCATTTAAAAAGGAACTAATTTCCAACAGAGCTACAAAAGTAATTACTGGGAAGAAAAAAAGCTGTTCCACAAAGGGTGCTGAGAACTTAGTACTCACAAAATAACCCGGTTATTCTGAATCTGCTCTGTGCTATTCTGATGGACATGGAACACAGATCTAAATGCAGAAGTTAAAACTAACTTTCTTACAAGAATATACAAAGGTTCGGCGTGGGAGAGGATTTCTGCAATCATGAATCTGATAAGGAACTTCTATAAGAATGTGTAAAGAGGGGGGCTGGAGAGATGGATCAGTGGAAAGAGTTCACACAGTTCTAACCTGTCAGACCACCTCACAAGATGACAATGATGGGCCAGTGTTGACCGGACCACACTTCTGACACGGACTGCTTAGATATTCTTGGCTCTCTATTTCACCTTTACTCTCACTTCAGGACTCCCAAGTCGGAGGGGTTCACCTGGGTCCCTTTGTCCCTCTTCCAACGTGGCTGCATTAAATAAATATTTTTCTGCTTTCTACTTTTAACTTGGATCTATCAGTTTGCTTATTAAGGATGGGTGACCAGACAGGACTTAAGGCACAGGGTGTAATTCATAAACTCCATAACACGGTATTACGGAGCACACGTCTACGCATCTATGCGCAAGCGCAGCCGGAGGGGCGGGACTGTCCTCTGCTCGGCCCCGCCCCCGGCCCCGCCTCGGCAGCAGGCTTCCACCGCCCAGCCAGCCCGCCGTCCGGAAGGGCCACGCCTTAGCCGCCCGCACGCCAGCTACGGCGCCGCCTCCCTCGGCTCGCGCCCTGCCCGGAGCTTACCGCGTCCCCTGCAACCGGCAGCTCCTCGATCCTCCGTCGTCTCCATCGGCCTGGCGCCAAGCTGTCCATGCGGCTTTGCGTGCCGCCTCTCAGGCCACCCGGAGGCGGGACCACCCTACCACGTGCCTGGAGGAGCCAATGAGGAGGCGTGGGGCGTAGCCTGCGGGACCGCGACTGTGCCCCACCGAGGGCTGCAGGCAGGAGTAGCCGAAACTCGAGCCTCCTACGGCCCGAGGTGCAGGGCTTCGTTCACCCGCCACAGGTGGATGCCTAGCAAGCTGTAACTAGTTTGTCGCTTCTCGGCTCACAAAGTCAGTCCCAAAGGTCGTTTGTTTAGTATTTGCCAGGCTTCTGCAACCCTTGGTCCGAGGGAGGCGCGCCCTCCTCTTTTCCCTTATGATTGGTTACTGAGTTCTGATTGATGGAGCCGCAGACCAATAGGCATGGCTGAGGCTGCGCTAGCCCGGGAGTTGCGGTCTGACCGCTAATAGCTTTGCTTGGTGGTGCGAGAAAAACGCAAATTCTATCTCCGCCTTGTGGGCAGCGCCCTGCTGTTTTTTGCTAGCTGGTCGTGAGCAGGACCCCGGGAGCACCACCGGGGGCAGGGACGGCCACAGATATCGGGAGTGGGGTGCGGCTCCAGGCCCCGGCTATGCGGAAGGCTGCACACCGACTTCTTGGAGACTAGGCCAGGGTTCCTGCGGTAGCTTGTCCAGCCTCTTCCTCCCTCCAGGCCCCCCGCAAAGCTCTGAACTCTTCTGTACTAAAGCTCCCAGATCCCTATGCCTTTTTTGACGAATTAAAATAGGGCCAGTCCTTTGGCAGTGATTGGCTAGCAGTGAGCATGTGAGCTGGTTTGAACCAGTGAGAAGTAGAGAAGGTGGCTTGAAGCAGAGTTCTAGGAAGTAGACCTTGGGGTGTCTTTTTCCAGTTCCCGTTCAACGTTAACTTCCTGGAGCGGTGACAGCCTTCACATCACCAACAGGAGTGCTGGTGGCAACGCTCCTGCAAAGTGGGTTTTAACAACACGTTCTTCTGAGCCACGTGACCCCTGGCCACACTCCACACTTCTCTATTGAGGCACTTTGAGTTTACCACAGGAAACCATTATGAGTGCATGAAGCTGTCCTTAGGTTGCTGCTGCAGAATCTCCAGGTGGCTCTCTTACTTCAGTTTCCTGTAAGAGATAACATTGGCGACTGATAGGGGACTGGGAGATATTTACCTATTTTAACGAATTTTGCAGGCTAGGTGCGGTGGCATATACCTTTAATCCCAGCACTAGGGAGGCAGAGGCAGGTGAATGAATCTCTGTGAGTTTGAGGCCAGCCTGGTCTACTTAAAAAGTTCCAGGACAGCCAGGGCTGCATAGAGAGACCCCACCTCAAAGAAAAAAAATAAAAATATTTTAAGCCAAGTACTCACTAGATGGAATGTCACTCCTCAGTGTTCCTGGGCTGACACTGACACTGGCTATCCACAATCTTGTGTCACACCCTCTTCCCACCAGGTGTGTTTCTGGAATTCAGAATCTTTTGAATTTTTTAAAGAGGCTGGGCAGTGTGTCTCTGGTGTTGGAGTTCTTGCCCAGTGTATTAACCAGCGTTCTCTAGAGGAACAGAATAATTAGAAGGGATGTTTTAAAAAGGAAGGAAGGTGGGTGGAGAAAGGAGGATCAGCAGTTCAAAGGTCATCATCACAGTGAGTTGGAGGCTAGTCTGGGCTACTAGAAACTGTCTCAAAAACACCTTTAACCCCAGCATTTGGGATGCAGAGACAGGCAGGTCTCTGTGAGTTCCAGGACAGCTTGTTCTGCATAGGGAGTTCCAGCCAGCCTGTATTACATAGAAAAAAAACCACTGTTTCAAAAACCAAAACAAAAAGCATGGGCTGGGGAGATGACTTATTGGTTAAGATCGTCTATTGCTCTTGCAGAGTGAATGAGTTCAGTTCTCAGCTCCCATGTCAGCTGACTCACACTGCCTGTAACTCCAGCTCCTGGGGATCCAACATCTCAGGCCAGCACTCACACACCCCCTCTAAAAATGAAGAGTTAAGAACAATAAAAATAAACGCTTGTATAAAAAAAGACGAAAGCAGCAACAATGAGAGTATACCAAGTTGTTCAAGATCCCTTTCTCTTTTTTTAACTTATTTTTCTATTTATTCTGTGTCTTTCACATCATGCCTCCCAATCCCACCCATCTTCCTCTCTACCCCCCCAAAAAGAAAGTAAAATTTAAGAGAAAAACAGAGGAAAAAAAAGAAAAAGGGAAAAATCTCATCATGGAAGCTGCAGTGTGACACAGTGAGCCAGTCACGCAGTAAACCCCTTTATCCATATATTTTTACATGCAGGTGTTGATTGAAAAGAATCATTGGTGTCCTTCGAGGCCCCTGGTCTCTGCTGCACCATTGACGATGGACCCCCACTGGGACTCTTCCTGGACATCCGGTTGCTGCCTGTGTTGTGGAGATCCCGCAGCCTGGGTCTACAGGACTAACCCCATCCCTACCCCACTAACTCCCTACTCCCATGCTCCTGCAGGTCACAGATGGGGTGAATGTTGGAGTGGGCCAACACATAACCCTGGTTCTGGGCCTGGGTACTTGCAGGGTTGGTCAGCTTGCCAGCTCTCCCCTGTCTTGGCCACCAAGGTGAGCTCTCCTGCATTGCCCTGGCTAATTCAGCCTTTGCAGCAATGAGCAAGGGGCGGGGCCAGTTCTCGACTTTCACATCCTCAGGGTTGGTTTTCCCACACCTGCACCTTCAGGACCAGCTCTACTGTGCTGTCCAGGCAGGGTGTAGTGGCCACTCTCCCGAATGCTGCAGCTAATGAGGGGCAAGGACAGCTCTCCTACTCTTATGACTTCAGGGTTGGCTCTCCCATCTGCCTCAGGCATTGATGGGGGAGGGGCATCTCTCCCCAGCCTGTGTTGCCTCAAGACTCAAGATCCCTTTCTTTTATAGGAGTGTTAATGACATCTTGTCAGCTCAGTGCAATTTGGCTCTCTGCTGATCCTTCAGAGGGTCAGGTCTTACAGATAATTCACGTAAGTGTCTGGAATCCTGGACCTTTTAGGAGCAGCTCCATTTTGAGCCTGCTCTCTTTTCTTTTAAAGATGCTCAAGACAACTCCAGAACCATTTCCCCACATCCTTAGCCCATGAGCTAGGTACAACAGTGGGTATATGTAGAAAGGTTGGAGATGGACCTCAGTGGTAGACCTGGTTTGATCCCCAGTGCTGTAAAAATGAGAAGAGACTTGAGCTCAGATGATATTTACCAAACACTGGTCCTTTCAGAACTGACTGCAAGATGTGTACTAGACCTCGTCTATTATTTAAACTCTATCTTAAACTTTTGTCGTTGATGTTATTTGAGACAGGGTCTCACGCTATAGCCCTAGGTGGCCTGGAACTCTCTGTGTCGACTAGGCTGGCCTCAAAATCACAGAGATCCTTCAACCTCCACCTCCTAATGCTGGGGTTACCTTCAAACTTGGTTTATCTTAGCCACTTTGAGGTGCTCAGTGGCAAAACACATTCACAGTGTGGGGCAAGCATAACCCCTGCCTGTTATTTATTAAGCGTCACAATGTTATTCATTAAGCAGCACTGTTTACCGTTCGAGAAAAGCCACGAGGTACAACAAAATCCAGTATAAGAATTTTTTAAGGGAAGGGAACAGAAGGGGTGTGCTGAGGCCTATGGGGGAATGACCGTGTAGGAAGGGGGAGGAGGAATAAGTGGAACCTGCTTTTATAGGCACCCCACCTCCCCGCCGCACATGCGCATATGGGCTTATGTAGCTACGCCATACATGCGCATAGATTACGTGATCACACTGTGCACAAATTACATGATCACACAGCGCACAAATTAGTAGGACTTAAGGCCCTGGGATAACTAAACATCTTGCCAGCGCACCACAGTCATGTAGCTGGGGGAGTGGCTAGGAATTCTAACACTGCCCATCTCCAAAATAACTCATCTCCCCCAGCTGAAAATGGCCCCATAAAAACTGACTCCCATTGCCACCCACCTTTCTACTGTCTTTGTAAGTTTGTGCTTGTTTGCTTGGTTTGGAACCGGGCCTCACTATGTAGTCCTGGCTGGACTCAAACTCAGAGTGATCCTCTTGCCTCTACCTCGTTGAGTGTAATGACATTTGTGCACCACCATGCCAGGCTGTCTGTAAATCTGACCAGCCTTGGTACCTGACATAATTGGAGTCAGAGAATCTGGATCTGTGTAGCGGCTCTGCTGAGTACGAATGCTTTCAAGTTCATCAGCGCTGTAGCATGTGTCGATGTTTCCTCCTTCCTGAGGCAGAACCACATTCATTCTATGGGTCAGTTATACGATGTGTATGCGTTCATCCATCACTGGGTGCCTGGCTTGCTTCCATGTTTTTCCATTTTGTGGGAAAATGCCGCTAGAAAACACGGGTGCCCCCTGCTTCAGTTACCTGATGTATATTTCTGGAAGAAGAATTGCTGGCTAGTGGGTAACTGGTCTTTCTTTCTTTTTGAAACACAACTGTTGGTTGTGGCTGCAAATGTTTCCCATTCCCGCCAACAAAGCACAAGAGTTTCCATTTCTTCGTTTGTCATCTGACACTTGGTACTCTTGCCAGCAGCCACCCTGGTGGGTGAAATGCTATGTCAAAATGCTTTGATTTCTGTTCCCTAATAACTAATGAAGCTGATCATCTCAGGTGCTTATTGGCCGTCTGTTTATCTTCTTTGGAAAATTATCTATCCACGGTCTTTGTTTTTCATTTAAATTTTTATATTTGGACGTTTACATATTTACTTATTTATTATTATACGTGTATGATGTGCGTATGAGTTCAGGTGAATAAGTCTCTCCACAAATGTGTGGAGGTCAGAGGATTACTTTCAGGAGTCAGTTCTCTGCATTGCCCATGGGTTCTGGAGATCCACTTCGGGTCTCCAGACTCAGACAGCAACTCCTTTCACCCACTGAGCCATCTTGCCAGTGTGTGTGTGTGTTTGTGTGTGTGTGTGTGTGTGTGTGTGTGTGAAAACTTGGATGCAGCTCTCTTGCAAAGTCGTTACTTCCATTCCTCAACCCCAAACTCCAATGGCTTTTTTTTTAGAAAAAGAGCTGCCGCCTCACCCTTCCTACTGAGAGGTGAAAGATCACATGTTCATTGTCTACTAGCATGGAGTCTGGCTTGCAGAGGGCATTTAATAATGTTCTTGTCCTCTTATTTCAGCTCTTCTTTGGGGGTTTAGTATAAAGTTCTTTTACCGTTGGAGCTCACAATTTCTTGAGATATGATGATGACATCATCTTTTCTGAAGATTCCTCCCTTCTCCACATGGCACCTGGTCCCCTCTCTCAGTTTTTAGGTTTTAACTGATTGTCCCTTCCTCAGAGGAGCTATCTATGTCTGCTGCCTGACCTACAGCAGCCACCCTGGTCCCCTGAGTGGCCTCAGCTCTCTGATACCGGTCACTGTGCAGTGGTTTTCTTATTTGCTGATTGAGGGTCCTGTGTCTTAAATCCCACTCCCACCTCACAAACTGATTGTTTCCCATTGGCCAGGGCCAGGTATACAGTAGGCACTCAGGAATGAACTCTCCCAAATGCATGCTATGTTACTTACTCATTTTGGCATCTTTGACTTCACTATATTCACACATGACACTTCGGGACTATTCTCCTGTTTAGATCTAAACAA